TCGTGAACATTGAGAATGGTAGTTGCGACGATGGTGGATTTAACAGCGGATTCGCCATTTTCGACATCAACAAACTACTAAAATATCCATTGTTTTTGGTGTTAGAATCCACAGTTTGTTGATTAGTCGACGAGCTATTTGAAGTATTATTCTTTTGCATTAGATTCCGGCCGTCCCAAGCAGATTGCTGATCCCCATTCCCTGATCGCACCATAGTTGATATTGCGGCTGCGATCACCGAGTGGAAACTTGGGTCAGAAGTAAGAGCCTTCGCTAGGGTTTCGGTCAAGGAAGGGTTTTGTGGTTGAGTCTTTCCAAGATTTTGAAAAGAGGATGATCCGGTTTGGATGTTGTTGTACTGAATGGGACTGTATGAAGAGTATCCGCTACCCCAAATCGCAGGAATGTTGACACTAGAAGTTGAATCGGATGAAGAAGAAGAAGCGAAGCTAAGGCTTGAAGGGAATCTTTGGAGTGAAGAGAATTTGTTAAAGTTGAAAGAATATGGTGATGAAGATTGTTGCTGAGGAGCCGTGAGATCTAGAGTGACGGTAGGGTGTAACGGCGAGAGAACGGTTGATGGTGAATAGAAGGGTTTGTTGATGAATCTTGAATTTTTGTCATAAAGTTCGAAATTCATACCGTTCTTGATAATCTCGGTGTCTAATCCTGACGTGGTAGAACTTGATTGGAAAGAGGTGGAGGAACCAGAGAGGAGCATGGAGACAGCAGCAGCGGTGGTGGAAGCCATGGCGGTGGCTGAGAGTGGAAGAGGGTGGTTGTGTGTTCCTTCGTAAGTTGTGATTAGAATTGACATATCATCTACACATCTTTGGACCTATACATAAAAAAAAAAAAGTCATAACTTAGAGAAATTAGATATTGGAAACTATAAATGTATGTTTTTATATGTTTTGGTAGATAGATAGATAAATACCTGTCTTCGAACAGGACATCCAGGTGCAATCGTGCAGCGGTAATATGCTCGAGGGCACGGGTTCCCTTTCGCAATCTTTTGTCCATATTTTCTCCATTGACAACCATCATTCATCTTTAAACGCACACAAAGAAACATACAATGATATAAGATAACAACATATTTGGAAAATTATCAGGATGATGGATATAAATGAATATATAGATACTCACTGTGAGAGTATCACATCTTGCTCTAACACAAACTCTAGCTCTCTTGGCATTATTTTGCTGACCAATATCATCAGCATCACCACTAGGAGAACTTCTCTTCCCGGTGACCTTATTAATGACCGAGGCTTCTTCCGAGCTATTTTCTAGGCTCGAAATGGTACGATTTTCCTTTGATAATCCAACGTTTGGTCCTAAAGTCAAACCAGCCTTGGTCAACTCTTTGTCTTCTTTGCCTCCTAAGCTTATGCTTTTGGTCTTCTCTTCGTTATTGGGAATGCTATTACTTGGGGAATTAGAACTTCTTCTCCCAAGGGAGAGCGAGAAAAATTCGCGTTCTTGATCAGAAGAATTTAAATACTCTGCGTTGAGATGCTCGTTCTTGTTATCCTGAATTGGTTTGTCTGAAGATTTTTGTTGAACTTTGTCGAAAAATCTGAGTCTAAGAGACTTGTAATCACTCTCAATATGTTCTAGCATTATTTTTAGCTTCTCATTCTCTTCCTTCATTTCGTTCATCTCAGCTTTTGCGGATTCAAGTTCATGACTCCCCTGAAATATCATCAAAAATATTTTA